GTTTCTCTTTCCAATGAGACAATTTGGAGAGGAGGAGGGGTGTTAAAATCAATCCAACTAGTTATTTGACTGATTTGTACACTTTCTTTTTATAAAAAATAAAGAAAATGTCCATTTTACTCCCTGTATAGACAGCCTAAAAGCAGCCTAAACAAGCTAATGTTTATCGTGCTAGCTACAACTCTACCTGAATGCAGGAAGACAAATGTTATGGCCCAAAGTTCTTTCCATCTCTATAGATAAATTCTAAAATAAAATGAATGTTTTTTTAGTTTTATTACATTCAACAAAATGGAATGGGACTCTTTTTTGGGAGACTGCCTTCTAATATCCATATTCAACATCTGAGTGAATAAAAACTGCCTCTACACAACTTCCACCCTCACTCCTCTCCCTCCAGTACATCAAGGCATATGCATTTTCCTTCCCAGTCCTCTCAATAGAAGATGGACAGTTGCTAAGCATGTGTGTGTGGTTGACAGGATAGGGGAGAAAAGAGTGGTGAGAAACTGCAGAACAACAACCCCAATGCCCACCTATTTTCTGATTGGTATTCAATATTATTCTGCTGAAACACATGGAATTATATTTGAGATTTAGGGGCTAGTTTTACAGCCCCATCTGGCCTTAATTCTGCGTATACAATTGTACATCATGAATCGGTCTACAATTTTGGTTTATGTCCCTCTGTTCCTGTTTGATCCGAAAATGAAATTTTACTCTACACTAAATGAAGAAGTTGGCTATGAATAGCCTTTATATTATTTTTAAATGAAACATAAAATTTTATGTCTTTAAGATTATGTATGAAATAAAAAACGATTGCCTTTGGAAGCAATGAATCATATCTTCCAAAGTGTATCCACCACAGGATTTTTTTAAGATCAATTTTTCCTTTTCATTTATTATTAAACTAAGCAGTATTAATATTTATTAAACACCTGTGGGGTGCCAATAACAATTCAGAGCACATAAAAGAGGTGGTCCCTAATGTCAAAAATTTTCAAAAGCTGTTATATGCCATTGTGCCTAATCACATGCTGGCCAAAGAAGAAACATTTTTATCATTACCCATCAGAGCTGTTGCTTTTGTTTTCTTTTTTCAGGAATGTAGGTGTAATTCTAGTTAAATTCTACAAAATCTGTAGTAAATGCTTTTGAGGGTACATAACTCCATCCCAACTTTTCTTCTTCTTTTTTTTGCAAAATTAAATTAAATTTGAAAAAAAGAAAAGGAAGAAAAAAGATGCAAACTAGATAATGACAGCTGGAAAGGACTGAATCACAGGATTGGTGGGACAGACCCTTCCACCTATGGAAATGACACATAGAATCTAATTAAAGTACACAGAATCATAAGTGTAGATAATGTAGTTTACCGTTTTTGTATTCAGCTTACCTAGCACAAACAGCCTTTAATGAAAGTTAAAGGAAAATAAAGTCAGCACATACATAAGGAAGCACTTTTTCATCCTGCAAGTAATAAATGTTTGGTATGGCCTTCCAGGCAGGGTTTTTCAGGTGAAGGACACTGGGGTTAGTCAACAATTGAATGCCTTGCTGTAGTAAATTCTAATCTGCTACATAGTATTTTTTCTTATGTTGTTATGACTGTACAGTCAAACTATAATTTTCAGACTCTAATTAAAACCAAACCAATACAAATGGTGCTCACAAGAAATCATCTGGGGCAAATGGCAGGAAATAAAGGGAATTATAAACTCATGCCTGAAGTCAAACCTGTGTTCTTGAAATCTCATTTATTCATTAATTTTAAATACCATTAGAGGAATTTCAACTACATTGACTTTTTATCACTCAATCTATGGCTTTAATACACTTTTTAAATCTTGGTAACTTGGTAATCATACTGATACTAAGGCAATATAGATAGATAGTAGACAGATATCCTTATTAATTGAAATATGTATTTAAAATATACTAAATATATTATACATACATATATATAATCCAAATTAAAAACACCATCAAACAGTTTAAACGCCTGTGCCAAAGAAAAATTAATGAAATAACAGAGTTAGAATAGGTCCACAGAAGTCATATTTGTTATTCAATTCCCCCCAACACACACACAGACACACACAGACACATCAGGACTATATTACACAACTTAAATAGTACTTAATTTTTGGTTAAAAATCAAAACAAAAAAGTCGTCATTTCCCATACCTCTGTATCTTCAAGTTGTCATTGTATGTAATAGCATGTGATCTTTACCCACAGTGCCTTAATGATACATCTTAGCTTCATTTGGTTCTGGAAAGTTCTTCTAGGTCTAGGTAGACAGGTTTTATTTATTTATTCTTCCATCTTTCCATGGATACTTAACAAATATTACCAGACTAGACAGGAGATAAAGATGATCAAAACACTGTCATTGACAGTTTAGTTGGCAAGATACACAAATAAAACACTATAGAGAGATAAATAATGAGTGTTAGTACAGCCTGATAAACCTTAAAAGAGATCTTCACATGTTGTCATGGGAGCACCAAGGAAGGGCACATAAATCACACTGCGGATTCAGAAAAGAATTGCTAGCAAAGAAAATGCTGATGCTGAGTCTTGATGGATAAGTAGAAATTAACCGAACAGAGGCAGTAGCAAAGGACATTTGAAATAGAGGGAGCAACATGTGAAAGAAATTGCCATGGTGCATTTGGCAAACCATTAGTCATTCAGAATAACAGGTGCAAAGAATCTGCCCAGAGCACTGGTAGGAGATTGGTCTAGAGAGATGCACAGAATCTAGCAATGAAGGGCATAAAGTGATCGTCTTTGGTCAACTTTTATCCTGGAGATTCAGAGAGTCATCAAAGGACATGCCCAGCTTTGAATTTGTCTGGGATACAGAGGACAGCTTGGATGAATGTTAGCCTGAGTCAGGGAGGCTATGTCCACAAGCAATAGAGTGAGTTGCTCTGATAGTTTTTAAGGATATAAGTCCTGCTGGCCACAGAGAGGAGCAGATTGAATTGAGAGCTGTTTGAGAGCTACAATCTATAAAACCTGGTGACTGACTGATTATGTAGATTACATGCAGGGAAGATCTGGTATCACTACCAGGTTCCTACATGAGAAATACAGGAAAATGACAAGATTGGGAGAAAGAATTGCACATTTCCTTTTCATTTAATATTTCTGTGGCATATCTAGAAAGAGATGACCAGTGAGCTAGATAAATGTGAAGCTTGCTAAATATTTGGGAGTCAGTAATAGTTAATACAATAGCTTTGGAGAAGTACTAAAGACTGTGTAAAACGAGATGAACCAAGGGCTGAGGACAGGTGGCTATGTGTTAGGTAAAGTATCAGCATCATTAACTATTTCACAACAGTAATATAAATATTTCTACACAAGTGCATGTCAAAACCAAAGACCATAGGCATGCTAATGTATTTTATAGATACACGGATTACAAATGGATTCTTTTAGCCTACTCAGATCGGCTGCACTGAAAAAGGTTTCTGAAATGTCTAAAATGAAAAAAAAAATCTGATTGAGGTAAGGTACACTGAGTCTAACTGTGTTTCTAACTAGATGGAAACTACTCACGGAGCCCTTGGAAGGGGCGAACTTTAAGAGGCTTATACTTCGGAGGCCCGCGGGGAGCGCGGCGCAGTCCGTCGGCCCACGGCGGGGCGGCCTCCCGGCGACTTCGCGGCGACCAAGGACGACCGGGAAGAGGAACGGCCGGGATGGCGCGTCCGCGGCCCCGCGAGTACAAAGCGGGTGACCTGGTCTTCGCCAAGATGAAGGGCTACCCGCACTGGCCGGCCCGGATTGATGAACTCCCAGAAGGAGCTGTGAAGCCTCCAGCAAACAAATATCCTATCTTCTTTTTTGGCACCCATGAAACTGCATTTCTAGGTCCTAAAGACCTTTTTCCATATAAGGAATACAAAGACAAGTTTGGAAAGTCAAACAAACGGAAAGGATTTAATGAAGGATTGTGGGAAAGAGAAAATAACCCAGGAGTAAAGTTTACGGGATGCCAGGCAATTCAGCAACAGAGCTCTTCAGAAACTGAGGGAGAAGGTGGAAATATGCAGATGCAAGCAGCGAGGAAGAAGGCGATAGAGTAGAAGACGGAAGAGGCAAAAGAAAGAATGAAACAGCAGGCTCAAAACGGAAAAAGTCATACACTTCAAAGACATCCTCTAAACAGTCCCGGAAATCTCCAGGAGATGAAGATGACAAAGACTGCAAAGAAGAGGAGAACAAAAGCAGCTCTGAGGGTGGAGATGCCGGCAATGACACGAGAAACACAACTTCAGACCTGCAGAGCACCAGTGAGGCGACCTAACTACCATAATGAATGCTGCACATGGAGAGAAACCACAAGAAGGTTCTATGTCGGGCTGTCTAATATTCTTGGATTTGATATGAACCAACACATAGTCCTTGTTGTCACTGACAGAACCCCCATTTGTATGTACATTACTCACGTTCCTCTCTGTTGTGTTTGGGGGAAAAAACATTTTAGCCTTTTTTAAAGTTATTGATTTAATTTCATGTTATTTGGTTGCATGA